TTAAAAGATGCTGAAGGGAATATAAATGTCAACTTTACTGCATTTTGAACAAATGCATTCAATTGATAAAAAGAGAAATCAACTTTAATGCTTTGCATTCCATTTCAGAATCTTCAATCAAAACAGCTTAAAATAATTAATGATCCCATTATTTAATAACTGAGCTTCCTGGTTAATCAAAGAAAAAAGAAAAATAGAACAAAATTGACGACCATCGTGTTGACTTTTCCTTAGATGTATTTATGCTTGCAGAGTTCTTCCATTCAATCATGTCAGATTCTCAGAGACCCCTGCAGTTTTCTTGGCAATGATTTTTCAGAAGTAGTTTGCCATTTGCCTGCTTCCTAGGGCTGAGACAGTGCAATTATCCCAAGGTCACCCAGTTGGCTCTGTGCCCAAGGCAAGACTAGAATTCACACTCTCCCATTTCTAGTTTCATGCCTTAACCACTACACCAAACTGGCTCTCTTGCAGTTTATTACATTGTATTAAAATAATTACCAGTAATGCAGAGACCGAAAACAGACTATTTGCTTCATCTTAATTTGATTCTTAAAAGCATGATGAAAAGCACCATAAGTAGATTGAGACTGCTTACTTCTATCCCAGCTTCTTCATTTATTCTAATGGCTAAAATTGAAAAATATATTTCAAGTCAGAATAAAGCATATGGATTTGGGCAAATTTCAATTTATACTTGACCACCAGTACCTGTTAGATTAAAAGAAATCTCATTGCTCTTGGTATGGATGGATTGTACCAGGATCTGCATCTTCTCCTTGTAATATGGTACTGTAAATATCACATACTGTATTTGACAGAATATGGCAGAAGTTGAGAAAATATTTTCCTTCCTGATAAAGTTACTAAAAAAAAGTGTAGTTACAGAAGTATTGTTTGTCCAAAATACAGTAAACTAGATTAATTTGTAAGAAAAGGAAAATGTGTCATTTTTTTTCCAGAGGTCCCTCAATAATCCACAACAGTTTGCTCTTTTGCAAGGTTCTCAAAGCTTGGCAACTATAAGACTTGTGGACATCAACTTCCAGAATTCCACAGCCAGTTAAGTCAACAAGTCCTAAAGTTGCCAAGTTTGGAGACCCCTGGTCTAGTGGCTAAGGCATCACGCTAGAAACCAGGAGATCAACCAGGACTTCTAGTCTCTTCTTTAGCATGAAAAACCAGCCAGATGACTTTTGGTCAGTCACGCTCTCTAAATTCATCTCACCCCACAGGATTGTTTTCAGGAAAATAGGAGAAGGAAGGATTATTATTATTATTATTATTATTATTATTATTATTATTATTATTATTATTGTTGTTGTTGTTGTTGTTGTTGTCAGCCAGATGTTCAGACTGAATTTGGCATTTTTGTCTACCTATAGAGTCTTTACCCAGGACCTGGAAAGGCAGATGTGGATGTTTGATGTGTTACAGATATCATTGTAGGATGGAAGCTATTTCCAGTGAAGCCGCCTTTTGCAATTGACTGATGGCAAATTTGTCAATGCCAATGGTGTTCAGGTGGTGCTCCAGTTGTTTTGGGATTGTACCCAAGGCACCTATTACTATTGGTACTACCCTTGCTTGCCTTTGCCACAGTCATTCTATTTCTATTTGTAGGTCTTTGTAATTTGTTATCTTCTCCAGTTCTTTCTCTTCTATTCTGCTGTCTCCAGGGACTGCCACATCCACTATCTAGACTTTTTTGTCTTTTTTATCAACAATTGTTAAGTTCAGGGTGTTATGTGGCAGATGCCTGCCTGTTTGAATTCTAAAGTCCCAGAGCAATTTAACTTTTTCATTTTCTATTACTTTCTCTATTTTATGGTCCCACCAGTTCTTGCTTGCAGTCAAATGATATTTCTTGCAGATAAGATAAGATAACCTTTATTGTCATTTTTTTTACTGTGAGCACAACGGCACACATCAAAAATGAAATTTAGTTGCCTGCTCTCAAAGTGAAACACATACATGACATACCCTAAAAACATACTATATACAACATATGTATAGACCCACACCCCTACATATACATAACAAATAAATATGAAATACTGTCCATCTTGAATATATAACGGAAGGAGGAAGCTTGAGAGTTCACAAGGTTAATGCTACTATGGCTGAATCTGGGTGTTCTGCTGCGGAATGAATAAATGAAACTATGGGTGAATCTGGATGTTCTGCTGCAGATACCACGAAGCCTCCTCCCAGAAGGTAACAAGGAAAACAGGTTGTGAAGAGGATGTGTAGTGTCCCAGATAATCTTACGGACCTTGCTCAAACAGTGCTTCTGTGCTATGTCCTGGATGGGAGGGAGCAGACTGCCAATGATCTTTCGGCCATTCTCACCACTCTCTGCACCGCCTTCCTATCTGAAGCAGCTACTTTGTCATGCTACAGCTTGTAGTCAGTCTATGTGATCTTCTTGCAGCAGCTTCAGGAGGTCTACTGTTTCTTCACCTTCTTTGCATAGGCGGCACTTACTGTCTGTTGCTGTCTTCTCAATTATGGCTTTGTATCCATTTGTCCTTAAGGCTTGGTCTTGTGCAGCCAGAATTAGTCCCTCGGTCTCTTTCTTCAATTTTCCTGCTCTTAGCCATTGCCAAGTCTTGTTATTATCTGCTTTCCCAGCTATTTTTTTAATGTACTGGCCATGTAGTGCTTTGTCTTCCCATGCCTCCATTTTTTTCTTTTGGTCTTTCTTGTAGGCCAATTTGGTCTCTCCAGTAGTCAGTAAGCCTTCCTGATATACTAAATTCAATGCATCTTCATCATTGTTCTTTAGATATTTTTCCAAAGCAATTTTTTCTTCTTCAACCATCTGATGTACTTACAACATTCCACGCCCACCTATTTGCCTTGGTAGGAAGAGTCTGTTAATGTCACTGCGTGGATGAAGGGCATGATTGTCATTATTTTTCTGGTCTTCCTATCCATTGCTTTTAGTTCTGCTTGAATCCAGTCCACTGTTCCAGCTATGTATCTAATGACTGGAATTGCCCACGTGTTGATTGCCTTGATGATATTTCCTCCATTGAGTTTGGACTTTAAGATCTTTTTCACTCTCTTGATGTATTCACCTCTAATATTTTTCTTGATTTCAGTGTGTTTGATGTTGTCAGCTTCTAGGCACTTGATTATCCAGTCATGCGGCAAAGAGTCAAATGCCTTTTTGTAATCAATCCATGCTACCAGTACATTCAGGTTGGCCTTCCTTCTCTTGCAGTTTTCCAAGATCATTTTGTCAATTAGGAGTTGATCTTTTATTCCTTTGCTATTGAGGCGGTTTCTTTTCTGCTCAGGTGGAAAGAGATTGATTTCAACTAGATGCTGTTGGACTGCATCAGCTACCATACCAGTTAGCAATTTGAAAGTTGTTGGTAAACAGATAATTGGCCTATAGTTGCCTGGTGCTGCCCCTTTTGCTGGATCTTTCATTATCAGCTAGGTTTTCCCAGTTGTTAGCCACTCTTTAATTTCACTTCCTTGTAGTATGTTGTTGAGCTGTTTGGCAACGAGTAGGCATAGATCAGAGATGTTTCAACCAAAAACCAGAACTGGTGCATTCGTTTCAAATATCCTCTTCTTGCTGGACTTGATCTGTAATAACAGATCATTATTTCTTTGTTTTCAATCACTGCGTATTTGCGACTGGTAAACACATTTTCTTCCAATTGTTCTGCAGCTGCTGGCCCTGGTTGCTCAGCCAACAGTCCTGAGTCCTGTAGCCCATTTTTCACCAGATATCCAGGAACTCCAACATCTGTAGACTTTGTTAACCTGGGCAATATGCAAGCTGGTATGGCTTTCTGACATTTATGTCTTGCCATATTTTCTATGGGAGAGACATTGTCTGACTCCTCTGATGAGACCTGTCCAGTATGGTTGAACCTCTGGCATAGCTCTCATCTTCCTCAGAGTACACAAGAACCACAAGATAGTGCCTCACTGGGGGATTATTATCAATAATTTAAATTTGCCACTTATCTCACTGTGGGGCTACTCCAGGAGGCTTACAATAATAAAAAGGAAGAAAATGAAAGGTTCCCCAAAAGAATAAAAATAGAACAATAAAAAACAATAAAAAACACACTAAGGAGAATACATTAATATGATAACCAAAAATCTGGACAGGTGGGGTGCAGAGTGCAAGGTGGGGTGGGGGAATGGAGACTGTCATGAATCTAGCAGCCACCTCCACAGTGTAACTCTCCCATTTGGTCTATGGAGATTCTCAGTCATACAGGTCATAGTTATCCCAAAAATGCTTTTTCATGAGGCAACTGGACTTTGTTTTTCGTTGAAGATGTTTCGCTTCTCATCCAAGAAGCTTCTTCAGCTCTGATTGTCCAGTCAGAGCTGAAGAAGCTTCTTGGATGAGAAGCGAAACATCTTCAAAGAAAATAAAAGAAGTCCAGTTGCCACATGAAAAAGCACCTTTGGAATATCCCATTTGGTCCTCAGGCCAACTGGCAGAGTCAGGTTGTATGTTTGTCCCCTTGAATTCCTTATAAAACAAAGGCAGGATTAAAACAAGGGGGCAGGGAGAGAAATTACTCTTTAGTCAGCCTTTATCTACTTGATATTTTTAGTTATACAAGCAAGGAACACACACTGCTTAGCTATTGCCAAAAAAAAGTTCACATCAATATCCAAACCAGATCAAATCTTGAACAGACCCCGCATTACACCTAGGAGAAATTATTTCTGAAACTATTCCTTAGCCAGTCTCTCTTCCCCGAGACTGAACCTATTGCAGTTCCCTGTTCCCAGTTATTAAGCCCACATCTCCACTCCGTTTTTTCTGCTATCTGTTCTCCCATCATAAAACACAAAAGACGCTTCTCTAGTCCAGTAGCAATATACTATACTACATCACGCTATTCCAGCTTGATGTCCTCCGTGGTCCCCGAATGCGCTGCCCGAGAGACTTTCCCGGGGACGCTCCAGAAGCACAGGCTCTGCCGGGACTGGGGAGGGGGGGTGGCCGTCGGTACCTGGGAGTCCCGCTGCTCTTGCCAGCGCTTCAGCTGCTCCTTAGCGCAATCTCGACTGCCGGCCATTTTGGGAGACTCGGAGACCCTCGACCCTAAGAGAGATGGGACGCTTTCGGCTGCGGAGCCCGTATGTCCAAGATACTTATTGCGAAAAGGGGAGCCAGTCCCAAAAGCTGCAAAGTCCCAACTACCACGATCGCCGCCCAGCTGCAACTGTCTAATAAAGCCAGCTGTGAAAGCTCAACGCCCCCGCGGCCCCGCCCCTTCTTTTCTTCATTGGTTTGGGGCTCTGTCCCAAAGCTCCTTCTCTGATGCTTATTAGGTGAAGAGTCGAATAACTGATATTTTGGTTCCTTCGAAGGAACATTTGGAGACCGGGCTCGCGGACCGGGGGTGGAAATGGTTGGAGGGGACGGAGAAGGGGCTGTAAAGCGACCGGTCTGGTGGGGCCACCTTATTATTCACATTTGGCAGGTAAATGTGTACAGCAGCGTCCCTGAACTTGGGGCCACCTTATTATTCACATTTGGCAGGTAAATGTGTACAGCAGCGTCCCTGAACTTGATGTTTGCCTGCTGTCTGAAGCTAAAGCTCCCAATGTTCCCAACCAACTTTAATTAATTAAAATTAAATTAAATTAAAATCCTTTATTGTCAAAGTACATGTGTACAATGAGATTAGCTGAGCCTCCCTTCGTGCACCCCCCATCACAACTCACAATGACAACAAACACACAGTCTTATTGCACCATGTGAACTATTGCACAACGCACAATATAGTATTTCCCACCTTAGCGGAATTCAATCTTCACTGCCCAGAGATTAGCCGTGACCTAGCTACTTTCCTTCCTCCTTCCTTCCCTTCTGAGCCTGAACCCCACTGAGAGAAACGGTAAGTTATGATTTTTTGATCCAAATATCCTTGCAAAGGAGAAGATTCTGTCCCTCATTCTGCTTCTGGGATACTCTGTTCACTGTTGCTCTCTTTCAGCAATGTAGAGATGTCCTTGTCCTTTGCTCTGCTGTCCACAGAAGGTAAGGAAACAGGTATAAGGAGTGGGCATGACATACAAGTCGTCCTCAACTTACAACAGTTTGTTTAGTGACCATTTGAAATTACAACACCACTGAACAAAATGACTTGTGACCATTTTTCACGCTTATGATCATTGCAGCATCCTTATGGTCACATGATCAAAATTCAGATGCTTGGCAACTGTCTCATATTTATTATGGTTACAATGTCATGATGGGGGTTCATTTTGCAATCTTCTGACAAGCAAAGTTAATTGGGGAAGCCAGATCCATTTAACAACCTTGTTAACTAAACAACTGCAATGATTCATTTAACAATTATGGCAAGAAAGGTTGTAAAATGGGGTAAAACTCACTTAACCACTGTCTCACTTAGCAGCAGAAATATTAGGCTCAATTGTAGTTGTAAGTCAAGGATTACCTGTGCAGCACTATTGTGAAACAAAACAAAAGACTTCTATTCCTGCTCCCTACAGCACAAAAATTCTATTACCAAGAGAAGGAAGTTGTGCTTCAGATTTCAGTGGTTCCTAAGTCGTCCTTAGGAGACACAAAGCCCTAGAAAGCCATATTCCTGACTTTAGGGAACACTATCAGGCAAATGTAAGCCTAACTACTATCGAAGGATCAGTACTGACAGAAGCCTTAAATGCATGCCCCTCCACTGATTGTATGCAGACAGTTCATCTGGAGGAGACAGCTGAAAGTGGATAACTGATACTGATCTCATCCAGGTGTTACAGATCTTCCCTTAGACCATGCTGGCTCAGGAATTCTGGGAGTTGAAGTCCATGAGTCATAAAAGAGCCAAGGTTGCCTACCCCTGCCTTAGACTAAATGGAGAGCATGGCTCCGTACCCAGATAAGGAAAGCTGAGAGTGGTTATACTCTTGTTTTTACAATGCAGTGCCATCACAGCACAGGCCAAAGCTTGAAAATTCACTATTGATAGAACTAGTAGCATTGTATTAAGACACTGACTTACCTGCCTAGGCAAAGAATCATTTCTTTACATTACAAAATCCGCTGTAGCCAGTCAGCTGTGCTGACTCAGGAATTTTGGGAGTTGAAGTCCATGAGTCATAAAAGAGCCGAGGTTGCCTACCCCTGCGCTATACCTATGAGATATGCCAACTAACTGTTTGCACTGTAAGTGACTGTTGCTAGGTGGGGAGGGAGCAAGCGATTATGAAATTGTCTGGGAAATTGTCACAGAACATTGAAAATGAAGATCACATGACCACAGCTGCAGCCTAACAGCAATCACAACTTCCCCAAATTTAATTCCCTCAGGAGTCATGGGTCCCAGATTTTGGGTATATTCTGTAAGTTAGTCCATTTGAGATACCTCAGTTCAAAAATTGTTGCCCTATGATGCACCGTTTCACTCAGATCATGATAGCATATAAATAGGAATCTTCCCCTCACATATTATAGGGCCTATTATAACAATCAAATGATTGTATCTTACTCTTAATTATAGGCACCATTCATTGATTTATATACATACA